TAGTACTGGTTTACGATTCCAGTCAATTACGTTTTGCGATTTTTTTGAGGTATTGGCCCATTCTTGCTGAGAATCTTATGCACAAAAAAATAATATGAATGGAAAACCACTATTATTGTTATTAGGAGAGCACAATAGTTATTACATTATTGACAGTGTAACTCAAAGCTTTATTGTGAGGGAAGAGACTAGTTGCAGATAGCACGATCTCGAACTGTGTCATTGTTGTATGATCGTTTCTTTTCCCACCCACCCACTTCACAAAAAGTAGCAAATTACTGTATATATACCTAACACCATTGATTGATTCACTGTACAGCGAAGAAACATTTTTGGTTTGCAAAATTACCTAGTTTAGTGGATGTCAACAGTGCATCATTTGTAAAAGGCAAATATATTAAAATTACACAACAAAATTCAAAATTGCTTGCACAATAATTCAGCATTTGCAAATATACAGTTTGGGGAGAAAGAGTATTTGTAGGCTTTTGCCTACGTAACACAATCCAGTAAATCCTGTGGAGTGCTTTGAAACATCCTCCCAACATGAAAAATGCTATATCAGATGTGCAAAATATTGGAAACTTCTAAAATTATTTCAATTTGAAAGCAGGGTTTCCAGTTCTTAAGACTGCCAAATTAAGATTGAATTTAAGGCAAATTTTAAGGATTTTTCAAACTTCTGTACAATCGTAAATTTAAAGATAATGAATTTAAGACTAAGGCATCTGGAATTTAGGCCTCAAAGACTGTGTTTCAGGATTTGAACTGACCATTTGTTTACTCTCCTCTGAAACCCAGTAAATTCTGTGAACCACTTTCCATATCTGCCCAATGTGAAAGTCACTGTATCAAATGCAAATATTATTCTTATTATATTCTTTTCGTTTTTCTTGGAAATTGGAATTAATCCATTTCCCTTTTGAATGTTACTGAAGAGGCAGAAAGGCAACAGATATTTTAAGACTTCTGCCAATATTGTTCTTAAATTAGCTGCCAGATGTGCATAAATTACAAGTTTTATTACTATCCAGTTTTCCACTCTTCCATCTTGGGTAAATACCCGCTTCTCCCAGATTGTACAGCTGAAAAACTCAAGCAGAGAATTTACAGGAACAGACTTGCCGGCTTCAAACCCATGGGACAAAACATTAGTGCTTCAATGTGTTGTGCACAAAATATAAAAGAGGAAGATTAAAATTTGTAAAACAATTATTAATCTAGCAATCATGCTTTCAATTTTTTTAAAAAATCCAGCAATCATGCTTTAAGTAAAAAAAGTAACTCAAGAAATAATTGATAAAAAAAATAAAATTGTATGGGTGTGTTTATGCTATAAACAGTCAATTAGTTGGGACCTGGCATAAGCTGATTGTGCAGTGAGTAATTCAAAGGCATTTGAATTGTAATCACTTTGAAACTCAATCACAATTTTTTAGAGCAAGAAAAGCAACACATTTCCATTTAATCTGATAGAAAGGCAGAATGTATATGGGCGTCGAATGTAAAATAGGAATGTATTGCCTTCATGTCCCTTTATTACACAAAGCTTGCTAAATTAAAACAAGAAAAGTGCATGTTAAGTTGAAAAACATCTATTCATTCATTACTTTTGCAATAAACATTTTCACTCATTCTTGGGAGTCCTGTAGCTCAGTGGTTAGAACGCTCGCCTTGCAAGCAGAAGTCTTTGGCTCAATTCCCAGCAGGGCAAAATGTTGGGCAAGTTTCCTTGCTGCACACACCTGTTTACCTAGCAGTAAGTAGGAACCCGATTGTTAGTCGAATGGCGGATCACTTTCCGGGGACAATAATTCCTTCCAAATTTTTTATAAATAATAATAAATTGGTCACTTCAATCCACAACTGTTTGTGAGACACTGCTGTGCGCTGCGTTTTGTCCACAAAATATACAGTTAATTCACTTTGCAGTATATTCCAGAAGACATGATATGGCGTTATATCAAATGCAAGAATTATTATTATGACTAAAATAATTAAATTTTCTGCTTTTATTTAAAACTTTGCTTTTTTTAATACAAAATACTAAATTAATTTGACAGAAATACTGATGGTGGCAGCCTTTGGACTGTGCACTTAAAATGAGCACTTTGCCACACTGTATTCTTTCCTTCCAAGAAAACTTTTCTGTTTGTTATTTTTGCTATTTCTTCTCCTTCCCTCACCATCCCGGCAAACAGTATTTTGTAGCTAAGAATATTTTCATTCTGAAGCCTTTGCCAACACTACGTAACTGGTCACTAGAATGTGCAAGAAAATGTATTTCCCTCCAAACAAACAGCAGACCTTATCCTAATCCATACCGAATTACAAACCTAAATACATATCCTGCTCTACAGCACAGTGAAGTAGAAGAATCTAGGCCACCATCATCACCAAACTAGTTTCTAATCCAGTTCTTAACCTCTCAAAAAAACAATCCCTGTGGCCATTTTGCCCAGATTTACTTTTTACATTATTCTCTTCAAGAATGTAGATGTACTGTGAAGTTGAAATTTCACCAGAAGTAAAAATAAACTGGGCGAGCTGCAGTGTCCTCTTTGGAAAACAAATCTCTAAATTAAAAAGCGCTGCATTTAGAAAAGGATAAGTTTGACAGACAGACAACAACAAATTACATTTGTATAGCGCCTTCAACTGAAGGTAGATTTCAATGCATAAGAATACAGTAGGCCATTCGGTCCCTCGACAACAACAACAAAATTACATTGATAGAGCGCCTTTCACGTCAGGAGGACGTCCCAAAGCGCTGAGCCTGTTCTGCCATTGTATTAGATCATGGCTGATTTGCACCTCAATTCCATATCTCTTGATGCACTTACTTAACAAAAATCTATCCATCTCCACTCATATACAGTAATATATATACACACACACCAATAATGCGGGTGTGACTTCTTCATATGTTAGATATAACAGACATCCCCCCCTCCCCCAATGCCCCCACGCACAAATGGTCAGTAGATGATCAGAATCTATAGTGGGCAGGTGGCAATGAAGCCAATGCGATGGCCTGAACTCCACTTGCAATGTGTCTGGAGAGTGGTAGGAGGAGAGGCTTGTTTCTGGTGGTGGGGGTGGGGAGTGTGGGGCAAAGTGGAATCAGGTTCCCGGGGGGAGATCAGTTTCCCAAGGGGGCTGGGGGGGGGAGGGCGAGGGGGAAATCAGGTTCCTAAGGGGGCTGGGGGGGGAGCGAGGGGGAGATCAGGTTCCCAAGGGGGCTGGGGAGGAAAATCAGGTTCCCGGGGGGAGGGAGTGGGGAAATCAGTTCCCGGGGGGAGGGAGGGGGGAGATCAGGTTCCTGGGGGGCTGGGGAGGGGGGGCTGGGGGAGAGGAGGGAGATCAGGTTCCTGGGGGGCTGGGGAGGGGGGGCTGGGGAGAGGAGGGAGATCAGGTTCCTGGGGGGCTGGGGAGGGGGGGCTGGGGGAGAGGAGGGAGATCAGGTTCCCGGGGGGCTGGAAGGGGAGGGAGGGAGGGGGAAGATCAGGTTCCCAAGGGGGCTGGGGAGGGAAATCAGGTTCCCGGGGGGAGGGAGGGGGGAGATCAGGTTCCCGGGGGAGGGAGGGGGGAGATCAGGTTCCCAAGGGGGCTGGGGAGGGAAATCAGGTTCCCGGGGGGAGGGAGGGGGGAGATCAGGTTCCCGGGGGAGGGAGGGGGAGATCAGGTTCCTGGGGGGCTGGAGTGGAAGGGTGGCTGGGGTGGAGGGGGGAGATCAGGTTCCTGGGGGGGGGGGAGAGATTAGGTTCCCCGGGGGGAGGGGCTGGTGGGGGATCAGGTTCGGGGGGGGGGGGGGGGGGGGGGGGGGTCAGGTTCCCGGGGGGGCTGGTGTTGGGGGGGGGGGTCAGGTTCCCGGGGGGGCTGGTGTTGGGGGGGGGGGGTCAGGTTCCCGGGGGGGGGGGGGGCAGGTTCCCGGGGGGGGTGGTGTGGGGGGGGCAGGTTCCCGGGGGGGTGGGGGGGGGGGGGCAGGTTCCCGGGGGGGGGGGGGGGGGTCAGGTTCCCGGGGGGGTGGTGTGGGGGGGGGCAGGTTCCCGGGGGGTGGTGTGGGGGGGGGGGGCAGGTTCCCGGGGGGGGGGGGGGGGGGGGGGGGGGGGGGGGGGGGGGGGGGGGGGGGGGGGGGGGGGGGGGGGGGGGGGGGGTGGGAGGGGGGGGGGGGGGGGGGGGGGGGGCTGGTGGGAGGGGGGAAATCAAGTCGCTGAGACCAAAACACAGCATTAAAAAGCGTGTCTGTGTGTCGGTTAAACCCCAGAGACACGAGCAGCTCCCGGGGAGTCACTGGGCACCCGCTGCTCCCGGGCGGGGAGGGGCGGCAACGCGGCGGCCCCTCACCCTCCCCCCCACCCCCCGGCACTGGTGCCCGGACGCCCGCTTTTACCTCACGCTGTGACCCGGCTCTGCCGCGCGAGGGCCGGCGGAGGAGGTAGAGAGCGCGGGCCCGAATGGGGGGGAGAATCAGGAGGAGGAGGCCCTGAGCTGGAGGGGAGGCCGAGGCCGGGGGCGGAGCCCTGGGCTGGAGGGGAGGCCGAGGCCGCGGGAGGAGGAGGAGGCCCTGGGCTGGAGGGGAGGCCGAGGCTGGGGGAGGAGGCCCTGGGCTGGAGGGGAGGCCGAGGCCGCGGGAGGAGGAGGAGCCCTGGGCTGGAGGGGAGGCCGAGGCCGGGGGAGGAGGCCCTGGGCTGGAGGGGAGGCCGAGGCCGAGGCTAGGGGAGGAGGCCCTGGGCTGGAGGGGAGGCCGAGGCCGGGGGAGGAGGAGGAGGCCCTGGGCTGGAGGGGAGGCCGAGGCCGGGGGAGGAGCAGGAGGCCCTGGGCTGGAGGGGAGGCCGAGGCCGGGGGAGGAGGCCCTGGGCTGGAGGGGAGGCCGAGGCCGGGGGACGAGCCCTGGGCTGGAGGTGAAGCGGGTTCCCGGGCACACACAGGGCGGGGGCGGCACAGCTCTGCTCCTGGGGAAGCGCTGGGAGGTGGCGCGGAGGGTCGGCGGCACCTACCATCGTACAAATGGAAGCGAGTTTCCCGACTGTCATTAGTATTTCCATCCGCCCGGCGCCATGTTTCACCCGCTCACAGGGGCCGGGGGAGGGGCCGTACCGCGGGGTCCTAGCGCCCGCCTCGTCAGCGCACTCTCACCAACACACTGCCCTGTACATACCAGACTCACTCCCTGCACACACTGCCCTGTACATACCAGACTCACTCCCTGTACACACTGCCCTGTACATACCAGACTCACTCCCTGCACACACTGCCCTGTACATACCAGACTCACTCCCTGTACACACTGCCCTGTACATACCAGACTCACTCCCTGTACACACTGCCCTGTACATACCAGACTCACTCCCTGTACACACTGCCCTGTACATACCAGACTCACTCCCTGTACACACTGCCCTGTACATACCAGACTCACTACCCAGTGCACACTGCCCTGTACATACCAGACTCACTCCCTGTACACACTGCCCTGTACATACCAGACTCACTACCCAGTGCACACTGCCCTGTACATACCAGACTCACTCCCTGCACACACTGCCCTGTACATACCAGACTCACTCCCTGCACACACTGCCCTGTACATACCAGACTCACTCCCTGCACACACTGCCCTGTACATACCAGACTCACTCCCTGCACACACTGCCCTGTACATACCAGACTCACTCCCTGCACACACTGCCCTGTACATACCAGACTCACTCCCTGTACACACTGCCCTGTACATACCAGACTCACTACCCTGTACACACTGCCCTGTACATACCAGACTCACTACCCTGTACACACACTGCTCTGTAAACACCAAACTCACAACACTATACACACTGCCCAGTGCACACCAAACTCACTACAACTTGCACATACCAAACTCACTACACTGTGCACACCAAAAACATGCTGTCCAGTACACAAACTGCTCCTTGCATACCAGACTCACTACACTGTACACACCAAACATATACTGCCATGTGCACACTAAACTCAGTACACTGTACACACTGCTCCGTGCACACCAGTCAGTGGCCTGCACACAGGAAACACACTATGTTTCACCCACACACTATATAGGCAATTCACTTTATTGTATACTCTGTGAAGCGCTTTGCGATAAGATGCCATATGAGATCATAGAATCTTCAGCACAGAAAGAGGCCATTCAGCCCATCGCGCCAGCTCTTTGAAAGCTACCCAACTCGTCCCATTCCCCTGCTCTTACCCGATGGCCCTGCAAATGTTTCCTCTTCAAGAACCTTTTGAATTCCCTTTTGAAACCCACTATCAAATCTGCTTCCACCACCCTTCAGGCAGTGCATTTCAGATCGTAACCATTCTCTAGGTTAAAAAAAAAATTGTCATCTGTCCTCTGGTTCTTTAGCCAATTATCGAAAATCTGTTCTCTGGTAACCAACCCACCCGCCAGAGGAAAGAGTTTCTACTCCATCAAAACCCCTCATAATTTTGAGCACCTCTATTAAATCTCTCCTTAAGCTTCTCTGCTCTAAAGAGAACAATACCAGCAGCTCCTCATAATTGTAGTCCCTCATCCCTGGTATCCATCTTGTAAATCTCCTCTGCACACTCTCCAAGGCCCTGACATCCTTCCTAAAGTGTGGTGTTCAGAATTGGACACAATACTCCAGCTGAGACCTAGCCATTGATTTGTAGAGGTTTAACATAACTTCCTTGCTTTTGCACTCCATGCCTCCATTTAAAAAGCCAAGGATCCCATATTTTTTTTCAAATGACTTTGTCAATTTGCCCTGCCGCCTTCCCAAAATTGTGTATGTGAACCCTCCGGTCTCTGCTCCCGCATCCCCTTTAAAATTCTACTATTAAAGTATATTGCCTCTTCTCATTCCTCCTCCCAAAATGCATCACTTTGCATTTCTCAGCATTAAATTTTATCTGCCACGTGTCCGAACATTTCACCAGCCGTCTGTGTCCTCCTGCAGTCTGCTGTTATCGTCCTCACTGTTGACGACGATTCCACGTTTTGTGTCAATTGCGAGATTTAAAATGTTGCTATCCATACCTGAGTCATTAATATATATTAAAAAGAGCAGTCGTCCTACTAACAACGGAGTAAACTAACATGGAGGAATACCACTGTATACTTCCCTCCAGTCTGAATGACAACTGTTCACCGCTATTCTCTGCTTTCTATCTCCCAGCTAATTTTGGATCCACGATGGTACTGTCAATTTCGCTAACAAGTCTATTATATGGCACTCCCCCAAATTGGAATCACCTCCACATGGCCACACTATCCTGGTTCTAGAGAGCTGTAGTGACCTGACTGGACCCATTACCTGCATATTGTTTCACATTGGGAGGACATCTCAAAGCACTTTGCAGGAATGACCATGACGTGTATTGACTGTAATTTATAGGTAAATTCCGCAGTCAGTAGCACATATTAATGTCCCATAAACAGCCATGAAGTGTATGACCAATTTTATCTGGGGGACTGTTGGTTCAAGCACCAGGAGAGAATCCCTTTTCTTTTTGAATCATGCTATGTGATCTTGAAAGACCACCTGAACAGGTAGTTGGGATCTTGTTTTAATCTCTGACAATGCAATGCATCCCCAGCACTGCATTTAAAGTGTAATCTAAACTGAGTTCAAAGCCCCAGTGTGGAGCTTACAGTGACATATGCAAAATATATATTGCACTGAACACATATTGACTTATATTCATACTATAATTTTAGTCATTGACATTGCAACAAGCTCTGTATACAACAGCTCTCTATGCAAGACAGGACAACTCAATATAGTCATACTCCATTATAAGACACCCTATTCAAAGGTCTGGATGTGGTTATAACATGGATGTACTGTGGAACATAAAATAACAGATTTGCATACACTTCAGGTGTCTGGCACTGACTATCAGTCTGTATAAGCACAACCACCAGGATCCAAACTACAGTACCATGTTGAAATGAGGACTCACTGTATATTAACATACAGCCCTATATACCTTGCAATACAGCTCTACATGCAATGTAGCAAAGCTCCTCTGACAATGTAATGAATCTGCATATATAATACAATTTAGCACAGCTTTTTGTACAATATAGTGCAATACTGTTCAATGCAGTGAGGTTCCCACTGCAGCACAGATCTCTACACATTGCACGCAACTACCTGAACAATGCAGTAAGATCTATATGCACTGCAATGTAGCTGCCAGTAAAATCTCAAATTAGATTTTTCCTACATTAAAAACTTATTGTTTTAGTGGCAAGTGATTTGAGACACTTAAAACTCTAAAGACACATGCAGCAGGCCCATCAGAACATTGTAAGCTTTGTCACAATTCTCAATTTCTATCTCCCAGATCAAGAAATCCCTTCAGCTTGTTTGATCTGATCCTTCCAGAATATACGTCCTATCACTTTCCCTTGCAGCTTCATGCTGTTTCTTAAACGAGTCCACCCCTCAACCACCTTTTCCTGGTTACACATTCCAGTTATTAATTACCCTCTTTGTAAAGAAATACTGCTTATTATCTCTCCTGAAATTGACTTTCACAGCCCAGAACCTGATCCCTTTTGTCCTGCTGCCTTGCCATATCAGAAAACATTGTTCTTGGTTTACTTTCTCAATCCCCTGTGAGACGGCACTATCTGAAAAGAGAAAGAAATTTCTGCAGGTGTACCAGCCAATAATTCGCCTAGATAAAATTGTTCATTCACTTCATGTTGTTTGTAGGACATTGCTGTGTGAAAATTGGCTGCAATGTTTAACCACAAATATGTCACTACATTTTTAACAGGAAAATCCTGTAAATCACTTTGAGACATTGTCCTGACTTTGTTGAACATTGAAAAATGCTATATCAAATGCAATGATTTTTAAAATTATATTTATGTCATTTTTCAAGGATAAAGAGCCCAGACTTATTGAAGCGCTACTCGCAGCTCATTCCTCTAACCTGGGTCATCCTTTTCCTCCTTAGCAGTGTATCCATGGTCTGGGTAGTGTGTGCAATCCATATTCCACCAAATCTCACTGTGAGCCGAAAGCAAAGACCTTAGGTCTAAATTGATTACATTAGAAGAAATCACCAAAAAACAAGACTTAACAGTTTCCTTATTTGGCAGATTTATTTATCCCCTTTTGAATTATAATAACTTACCCCCAAAAAAATCTAATATATATGGGCATGTAAATCCCCTCAAGCAAACATCATTATTTCCATATTGTAAATACCTGAACATGTGCTATGGCTTTAAATAATTAATCATGCTTTGAGTTCCTTGTTGAGCTGTCTGCTGATCAGTTTGGAGAATGCTGCTGCCTGTGGAACACATTCTGCCTGCTGGATGGAAGAAGAGAAATTGCTCAATGTTGCAGAATAGTAATTTTTTTCCAATGGGAGCAGGGCCTGGGGGGGCAGGGGGTCTTGAAAAGGATTCAGGAGGCAGGATGAACTTTGTGTTAAGAAATATATAAGCAAGGAGAAACTGCACTATTGCAATGTTTAGTGTTCCTTAATAGCAAGCTCAATAAAGAAGCACTTTGTATCAACGTCCATCGTTGGAATCTCAAGTACAGTAGATTGCAATCTAACTGATTTGTATGATTTGTCATTAAAAGACTGCTTCAGCTGATGTCGTTGTCTGAAGGGTAGTTAGGTCATCATGAGGAAGGTGTTAAATCAGGTACCTCCCCGGCACCCTTCCTACTCCCTGTATATATTAATAACCTGGATTTGCAGCTTCCGTGCAGGTAATTAAATTTGACGCCAAGATGGGGGAACTGTGGTATCAGAGGAAGCACCAAACCTCTTGCAAAGAGAACTTGAAATGATATACACATGGACTGATGTTGGGCAAATGGAGTTCACTGCAGGTAAATGTATATCGTACTGTATAATGGAAGCTTTTACAATCCAAGTAAAATCTTCCTGCTTACATACTGTTTTATATATATTGTTGGTGACTCTTAACATTTAAAAGATTTTTATCACACCTCAATCTATTTTTACTGAAGAGTTCAGCTATACCATCCTTTCCTTATAATTTGGAGCCCTAATTCCTGGAATTGTTCTCTTTGTTCTTCTCTAACTGCAATGTTCGTTTGCGTACACAGTACTCCAGGCCCTGTTTACTTGACTAAAATGAAGAAGATATGTTCTTGGCAAAGCAGGAAATTCCAAAATGTATGAATTCACAATATAATGTTACTTTTCATTTGTACAATCAGAGTGATTGGATTGGAGTCATCTATTTTGTTGAGCCCAGCAAGTAATGCCCTAGGAGGATTTGGTCACCACAGGAGTTTATTGGAGTTGTGAAGAGTTTGCCACGTGATTAAGCACAAGATGTGTAAAAATCCTGTAGAGTAAAACAAAAGTTTTTGGTTTCTTCAGCAATCACAAAACATCAACAGCATGTTAGCCACATTCTAGCTCACAAAGATTTCTGCTGCATTGCTGCTGCTATCTGTTTGAATAGAAAGGAAAAATTGCGCAGCTCAAAATATAATAATAATAATAATCCTTGCATTTGATATAGCGCTTTTCACGTCGGGAGGACGTCCCAAAGCGCTTCACAGAACACACTATAAAGTGAATTGACTGTATATTTGTGGGCGAACGCGGCAGCCAATTGCGCACAGCAATGTCCCACAAACAGTCGTAGATTGAAAATGACCAATTTTGTTATTGTTTTTGTTTTGGAGGGATTATTATTAGGCGTGTGGAGTAAGGAAACTTGCCCAAGGTTTCGCCCTCTGCCTGGAATTGAACTCAGGTCTCTCACTTGCAAAGCGAGTGCTCTAACCACTGAGCTACAGG